GAATAGAATGAAATGAATAAATAATCAAACAGCTCTAATGCACAACTGGTTAAATATTTATTCGTTTATGATCTAAAGATTATTAAATTACAAATAAGCTACTGAATCTAAAATAACAAAATCGGCGACTCTCGTGGGAACAAGACAAGAAAAGGAAGAAGGGTAATAAAGTAATTATATATACAACGCGGATGTTTAGGTATCGTGGTCATCACAGCTGCTAGCTAGCTTGACCCCGGTGAATAATAATTGAAAATTTTAAAGGCATTTTAAGAGGGAATAAAAGAAAAGAATTTAGTACTAATTAATTAATTAATTAAATCGGCTACCTGCCTAACTCTACGTCGTTAACACGTTGCCTTTGACAGCAATGATGCCGTTATTTCTTTTCAACCCCGTTAGAGCCTTTGAGGGGAAAGAACAAGCTTTTTTTTTTTTGGGTTGGGCTTTAATTACTATAGCCCAAAAGTTCAGCATCATGTCGCTTTTTTTACCGGAAAAAAAGGAGTTGTTTTTTTTTTGGGGGTAACTTACCGTTCAATTTTATTAATATAAAGTATTAAAAACCTTATATAGATTCGTGGGGGTGAAGAGTGGACAATGTCGTCGTTCACTGCAATTACATATACATAAAGGGACCGAAGTCAATCCTAGATATATATGCAAGAGAAACTATAAGTCCTGTGAAAATTCACAAGTAGCGGAAAACAAAATACAGGTATTCAAACTATCCTAAACATTACAGATCAACAACTTTTCTAACTAGAAAGCCCGAACTACGTACAACTGAGGGCTCAAGCTGAGTGATATCCTGTAGCATTTCCTTGTGAAGCCCCCCTCCTTTCTATGATCAACCGGAACTGGGTGATCTTCCATTGTTTTTTTCAACTAATTCGTGGTCTTGATGTTTGTTGCACTTGTCCAGTTACATATATGGAAGTCATAATTGAAAGAGATGACTGAATTAATAATTTGTTTAGATGATGAAGCCTTAGTTTGAAACATAAAATTGCTCGTAGCAGACTATAAGCACCAAAAAATAGTGAACCAAAATAAGTTTTGTTCAACTGACATTTCGTCGATAATTCAATCCCTAAACGTGTTTCGTAAAAAAACCGCAGTTAGGAAAGGTTAAAAAACAAATTTACATCAGGCTGAACAAGCAACGCTACTATTTACATACTGGGCCCAAAGGCCCAATTGGGCTTTATTAAGCCCATTAAGTTATCTAACGGCCGTTTGCCGCGTCATTGAACTTAGCGACGTGCACATTCCGCGTACCGTGGGACCCAATTAAAGCATTCGACATACTTTCAGGCGTCACCTCTCCAGCTGTATCTCTCTCTATCTCTCTTCATTTTTGTCTTTTTGTCGTTTTTTTCTTTTCAATTAGTTAATTAAGTTCATGTTTTTATTCTCTATTTTTTTTGGTTTTTTTTATTTTCTTTATGGGGCTGTTTGTTTGGTTTCCTAAAAACCAAGAAAACCAAGAAATGGAAATGGAAAACATGAAAATCTCAAAAAATACTATTTCCTCCATTTCCATCCCTAAAACTCACCCACAACATCCAATAAAATATTATTTTCATCCAACAACTCATCCACATCATCTAATAAAATATTATTTCCATCTAATCACTCATCCACTACATCTAATAAAATATTATTTTCATCTAACAACTCATCCATCACATCTAATAAAATATTATTTTCATCCAAACATCACTCAACTCATCTCTTTTCATCATTTCAAATCACTCACATCATCGAATAATAATTCGACAACTAACATTATTTCATCTCCATTTTTTTGATTTCCTTCTTTTTTTAGCCAACCAAACACTCCCAAACCAATTCTTCATTTTAATAGTTTTCCATTTCTTTGATTTCCCTCTTTTTTTAGTAAAACAAACAGCCCCTATGAAGAAAACAGAGGAAAGAAATGAAATCATTGTCCGAAGTACCAACTGGCAACATAGTTGTGTTCCTTCAATGTTTTTATATCTCTTGAGAATCCTTCACTCAATTTTCGGCCACAAAGAGTGAGATAATGATAAACTAGTATTGCTTTTGTTTCTCGACCTTTTCCAAACATAACCAACTAAGGCTTTGTTTGGATGCCTTTTAGGAAACTAGAGTATTTATGACACAAAATAAAAAATGGTTATCCACCTCACCACTTTTCATTCGAGTGCTTACATTGTTTGGTTAGAAATCTTTGTGAATCCTAAAATAATAGTATTACATTATTTGGATAATATAATGTAAACTAGAGTATTTATGACACAAAATGAAAAGTGGTTATCCACCTCACCACTTTCTACAAGGTTTTGATTTTTTTATTATTATTTTGGACATATTTATGACATTGTGTAAGCTTTCCAACAAAATCACTCATAATTTTGGTGATTTTGCTTTCGGTGACACCTTATCAAAATGTGTAAGCTTTTTATGTAAAAGAGAATTTAAACAAACAATGTAAAATGATGAAAGCTAACATTGGGACCCACTTTTTTACATTTTCCATCATTTTACATGGTAAAAACATATAACCAAACAGCCCCTAAGGGCCAGTTTAATGTTACTTTTTCTAAGGTGCTTCTCTCTCTCTCTCTCTCTAAACACATGTAAGAATGATGTTTGGTAAAAACTTTTTAAAATCCTTCTGCTTTCAGGGGCTGTTCGTTTCGCAAAAAAAATTGGGAAATCAAAGAATAGGAAACTTATTTCCTATAATAATTGTTTTGAGGTTGTTTGGTTGAAAAAAAATTGGGAAATCAAAGAATAGGAAACTTATTTCCTATAATAATTGTTTTGAGGTTGTTTGGTTGGCTTAAAAAAGAAGAAAACTATAGAATATTGTTTTGAGGTTGTTTGGTTGGCTTAAAAAAGAAGAAAACTATAGAATAGGAGATGAGATGAGATGACTTGTCACCTTATTATTGGATGATGTGAGTGATTTTTAAAAAAAATCTTGTTTTGAGGTTGTTTGGTTGGTTAAAAAAATAAGGAAATGAATTGGAGGTATATTATTGGATGATGTTTTGAGGTTGTTTGTGTTTGGTTCATTTTTAAAAATAAAAAAATAGATGAGATGAGATGAGTTGGAGGTATATTATTGGATGATGTGACATATACTTAAGGAAATCAATTTCTTGTTTTTTTTTTTTTGAGGAAATGGATGGAAATGAAGGTTTAATGAGATGAGATGAGTTGTCACAATATTATTGGATGATGTGTGTGATTTTTAAAATTGAGATGTGATGAGTTGGAGGATAAAAATATTATTTTATTAGATGTTGTGGGTGAGTTTTAGGGATGAAAATGGATAAAAATATTATTTTATTGGTTTCCTTATACCGATTTCCTTTTCTTGGTTTTTAGGAAACCAACCAAACGGCCCCTTAGAAGCAACCTCATGATGGTTTTCAAAGTTCGTTTTCTTTTTTTATTTATATATAATATATATCTTTTATATTTTAATAATGATCGTTAAGAACAGTTCTACCAAACACCTTAACTATTTTTAAGTAATTTTTAATAATTAATTACCAAACAACTATTTGCAGTAGCTTATAGGAGTTGCTTTTGTAAGCTGCTTTCCTAAGCAATTTATGCAAATGATTATAACTAACCTGATCACTTGCCACCTCATTCTTTGAGTTGTCGGCTTGTAACCACCATGATTTTCATTTGCTATGTTTATATTTGAGATATGCATATGTTCGCCGAGCATCGTGATATAAAGTTCGACTTACAACTGTAGGGCTTGTAACTGGATTTACATGCGACTGGATTATTCTTCAGCAGTTGAATTTTTATGTTTAACTGCAACTAATAGTTGGTTCCTTATCAGTTGAATTTTTATATTTAAGTGCAACTAATAGTTGCACTTAACTGTAGGGCTTGTAACTTTTTTTTTGGGGTCATGTTAAAATTAAACAGAAACAATTACACCTACAGATGCATGCAACAACATTTAGGGTATGTTTGGTTATTTCCACAAAAAAATCGTGGAAAACTCATCCTTGAAATGATTTTAATACATTTCAAGCACATTTCCCAGATTTTTTTTTTGGTTTGTTTCGCAAAGAAAACTCCACATTTCAATGCCAAGTCACACAAACAAACAAAAAAAACTTTTATAGTAACAATGTCCAGTTTTCTATTTCTTTTGATTGTTTGAGAACAAAAAATAGGAAATGAGAAATGAGGGTATTAAATATTATGTTTTATTATTCTGTACTATTCCAACAGTGCTTTTTCTAATTAATAATTCTTGGATGCTACATTTCCAAGTGTTTTCAGCCCAATTTGGTGTGAAAACACATTTCTTGAAAGTTTGAGGTGGCAGCCTACGTGGCGATTCATTTCTCGAAAATTAAAAACGAAACAAACAAGAGAAATGAAAATCTCTTGAAAACAAAATCCCATATGGCACTTGTTCATTTCTTGAAAGTTGAGGTGGCAAGAAAGTTGAGGTGGCAAGAGATTTCCGGATTTTTTTTGGCAAACAAACAGACCCTTACAGTAATTGTGAGTGTATTGTTAACGGTGATACGGAATCTAGACAAAAGCTTTTTCTTGTGCCAGAAACTCATCATATAAGCTGATGAGTTTTTAGATAATTTATTCCCCATGAAACAGTTCATCACCCAGAAAATTCCTTGGAAACGCTAGCTCACCGCTCAACATGCCAGATTGAATTGAAACAAGAAATTCAACACGTTTAGTTCTGAAAAAGACCAAAACTGAGATATCCGCGGTCATCGATGTAGGAACGTTCATCACTTTATCCCATGAAATGCAGGCAAGACGGCAACGAGGGGGTCACCATAACCGACTGGTTCTGCGATTCAAGCATAAGGGAACAAAAGGGTTGGTAACAATAAGTCGGTTATACCAATCGGAGTAAATTAGTTTCTTCTGAAATCTGAAACTCAAGCACACTTTTTATTCGGTTAACTGAGCAGACCCCATAACACGGTTGTCTCGAACTTACTACCCCTGTAGTTTCATTTTGACCACATAGACTCCCCGGGTGAATTTTTTTTTTTTACTATTTAACCCACCGATTCACTCACTAATTCACCAGGGGTAATATCTGCCAAAATTTCACCTCCGGTAAAAGAGTAAGAATTTACCCCAGCTGTCTATCTGCCAAAACGAAACTACAATGGGTCTATTATGATGCAATCAACCCTTTTTATTTAGCAAAGAAGAGCCCACAAAGATCATTGCAATTTAATGAAATTGATTATAGGTCTAAAAATTGGTATTGCTCATTACCTCCATCCTTGAAGAGGAACTTCAGGATTTCTCCAGCTGCATCTGACTGCAGAAAAGGTCAACAAGAAGAGATCACAAGTGTTTCCCATCAAGAGCAAACAATTTCCAACAAAATGTATTTTGGTGATTCTTAATAAGCTGAGGTTCATAACTTTATGAAGAAACAAGGAACAAGTTCTGGTAAGGAAAGATAACTTACTTTAATGGGAAGCTCACTGCCAAACTGGTCCAAGTAGCCAATCACTTGTCCTTCTTTGATTATATCTCCCTGTTTGTAAGAATTCGCAAGGTCACAAGGGTTTTTATTGCACAAAATTTTATTTACGTAGACGTAGCTCAATTGTTGGATATGGATCTTGTATCAGATACTTTCTAAACAGTTTAATTCAAAACTGTTAAAAGCTTGAGTGATGAGATTTTGCGAAATGGGGTAGTCAGGTTGGACAATATTAACAATGGTTATTATGATTTCAGCAGCCAATGAAAGGACGGCTTGCATTTTAGTATAACCTATGTTCTAAAATTAGGTATTGTCATCCAGGCCTAAAATCCAGTTATAACATTATATAGGGGGAAATGAGTTGGATGCATCTCAACCATTCAATGACATTTGATGGTTCAGATTGCTCATCTCACGTTTAACTCATTATTCCATCTCATAGATACTTTACCTATATGTATGGCGTACCTTACTGCATAAATTATCAACAGTGGTCAGAACAACTTGTATTAAGGATAGTTACAGTGCTACAAAGCCCAGTTCAATATGAAACGAGCTCACTTTTTTGAGCCGAGCGCAGCATGTTGTTTTAAATTCTTTATCCAACCATACTCACCCAGTCATGGATTCATAAAAAATAAATTGCAGTTACAGAGAAATTCAGTCACCTCTTTGCAGCTAGGAGGTTGCTTCTTTCCTTTCACTGTTCTTCCACTCCGGAACAAACCAACCTAAAAGTGATAAGTAGATAATTTTGAGAAGAAATTATGTGAAAATGTTAGTAAGCAAAACAATCTGGATTTGGTTATTCGAACCGTGGGTGAAGATACTAGAACATATGTGTTTGATCCAGAACCCTCTAAAGCCGCAAGCTTTGATTCATTAGCAGAGGAGGTATTGGCAAATGGATTAGTAGATGCTGAAGTGGATTTCTGAGGTGCAGCTTGAGGGGCAGAAGGACCTGATTCCGCCTTTGGCTTACTTGGAACTGGTGGCGGTGTTGCAGGCGGAGCAGCAGAAGGTACAAAAGGAGCTGGGGCTTCTGGTGATCCTGTGTTCCTTTTCAGATGCATTTCAAATTGACCAACCTGAAGTACACGACCGTATGACTACAATAAATTGAATGCGTTTTGCACGGAAAGTGATAATTATTTCCCAAAAAATTAAATATGTGACAACCTTACAGCTGGAATTAAAGAAGACACATTAATTATGTCACACAGAAAAGTTACGGTTTTATCCAAAAAAATCATGAGTTGAAACTGATTTTTTAGTTGCTAAAGAAATCAAATAAAAAAAATCTCGTCAAATTAAAGTTTCAATTTAGTTAGAGATGAAAGAAATTCATCTTAACTTACAATGTATCACATAAGAAATTCAAGCTCATAAAAAGTAGATTTCTTTTTGTTCGTACAACGGTCAATTTAACCTTCATCTTATGGACATATGGATATTTTTTCTACACAATTAAACCACATGCTCAAAATGTAGTTCTATAAGATCTACTGTAAGAAACAGCTAACTGTGCAAGATTAACTAACCTTTGGATTTATAGTCAAAAGAAACCTTGCTATACCTTATTTTATTATTATACTCTTTTACAAAACCTCATGGAGCATTTTGGACCTAAAGAGGAAAAAAGATTCATTTTTCAAAGTTTGCAAGCTTAAAAATAAACTTGTTTAGAAATTAGTTCAATACGCAAAACGCTTTTTATTTAGGTCTCTTCTTTGACCTAACTATTGAGGTACTGTAGCTTGCACTTGCCTACCTCCATACATCTCAAAAAAAAAAAAAAAAAGTGGAAGGCAGGTTTCGAACGTGTTACTTGTACTTCAAGGATAAAGAGTCTAACCTATTGAGGTACTTCACTGTGGGAATTATTAGGGAACACACACACATACATGCATACAAACATAGTATTCTTGGTACAAAACACAAAATTGACGTTTGGTGGTGACGTGAATGCTTCTCATCCACTCATTTAAAGGTGCTCATTTAAAAATGGTCTCCACTTGACTACTCACCCATTAAATGAGTGATGGAAAAGTAGTCACATCACTACCAAGCATCAGATTTGTTGCTTGGAACCAAGCATGACCATTGTTCTCTCTCTCTGCACACATAAAATATGGGTATGCTTAGTACAAAATACAAACTTAGTGCTTAGTACTGATGTGGATCATTCTCATCTACTCATCTAAATGGGGGACCATTTGGTGCTTGGCAGTGATGTAGCTCATTCCTATCCACTCGCCTAAAAGGGGGAGTCGGGGGACCACATTCACATGTGTTGGATATTTAAGGGGTTACCATTTTTAAGTAGGGACCATTTGAATGAGTGGATCAGAATAAGTCACCTTACTACCAAGCATCAAGTTTGTGCTTGGTACTAAACATATTCATTTCTCTCTCCCTACACCCACACACACATATTTATTGTAACTCCGTTCACGTGCAAAGCATGTGCATCTCACCTACTTATATATAGATATCATAATAATTTACATCTCATCATCAGCTACAGTTTAGCTATATTGTGGAAAAAAGGAGCCGCCTCCCACTGCTGGTCATGAAAGGCACTCGCTATATTTCATTTGAAGAAAGGAGCATCTTCCATGATCACCTATGGGAAGCTATGCGTCTCCTCGTTTAGATTTGGATATTTTGGAAAAGAGGAGCCGCCTCTCGTTGTTGGTCATGAAAGGCACTTATTCTATGTTTCATTTGAAGAAAGAAGTGTCTTTCATAATCAGCGGCGAGAAGTGATGTGTCTTCTCCTTGTTTGGATTTGGATCTATTGTGGAAAAGATGAGCCGACTCTCACCACTGGTCATGAAAGGCACTCACTCTATATTTCATTGAAGAAACGAGCACTTTTAATGATTAGTGGTGAGAAGCGATGTGTCCTATTCATTTGGATTTGGACCTATTATGAAATGGAGGAGTCGTCTCTCACCGCTAGTCATGAAAGGCACTCGTTCCATATTTCATTTGAAGAAAAGAGCGTCTTTCTTGATCAGCTGTGAGAAGCGATGCATCTCCTACTCGTTTATATTTGGATCTACTTTGGAAAAGAGGAGTCGTTACTCACTGCTCTTTGTGCAAGGCACTCGCTCTATATTTCATTTGAAGAAGCGATGCGTCTCCTCCTTGTTTGGATTTGGATATTTGAAAAACCTAGCTGCCACTAGCTAGCAAGCCTCTCTTCTCTACGATCTTGCATATTCTAAATCCCTGCCTAACTAAGTCTTTAAAAGAATGTAAATAAGTTACTGATTTTTTATTTTCTTCACCCTTTTCTTCCCCGAAAGTTTGTTATTATGATAAATTTTTCAAAGATCTCTATTATTTATTTGCTTTTTCTAGTATTTAAAGAACTTTTGATGATCATATAATGTTATTATTTTAGGGTAACCCCTTCATCCCCTTGATCTACATGGTAGTATCAATAGAAAAAGAATCCTCTAATCTATAGTATTTATTGAAATACCATAGTTTTGAAATAGCTTCAAGTTGAACTTATGATGCATCTGACATGATTAAATTTATACTTTCACAAACCATTTTAAAATTTCACAAAAACGTTGTGGTTCATTTCTGTCTTAATAATTTTATTTAATGATTATGGTAAGAAAATATCAAATGAAGAATAATACAAACAAATAAGATATATGTTTTAAGAAAGGATATACTCTCAACTCTGTTAAAAATAATGCCCAATAGCACTGCTATAACGACACAAATTGCATTAACGCCCATTACACGCAACGATATCAATGAAAGCGGTGGAAGCTAGCGCTCTGTGTGCTATTTGCTAGCAATAGTGTTGTTTAGCGTGTCATAGCGCCTAGCGCCTTTCATTATGGATTCTCAGTTTAATATGACACAAACCCGATCCATAATCACATGATTCCCACCAACTCCGCCACCTCTTCTCCTCTCCCTCCACCAACATCGTCGCCTGCGACCCTCCTCCTCTCCCTCTCCGACTGCTCCACCTCAACCTCTACCTCTCCCTCTTCGATTACAACACCTCAAACCCCAAAACCGTCTCCGACTACCCTCCACCTCAACCCTTACGTCTTCCTCTCCGACTACTACACCACAACACCAAAACCCCTTCTTTGACTGCGTCTCCTGCTTCTCCACTACCTCAACACCAAAACCCGTTCTCTGACTGCATCTCCTGCTTCTCCACTGCCTCCACTAACTCGAAGCTCAAGAGTCCTTCCTCCTTAGAATCTTGATAAATCATCAAATATGCATTTTTGAAATTTTCAGATTTTTCTTTAACGTTTCTTATTTTTTTGGATATTTATATATATTTAAATTGGACCACTATTTAACTTTATGTTTTTTCCGCTAGTTTGCCACTATAGCCCCAAATAGCCTTAGTAGTGTCTTTCCGCTACTCGACGTTGACTGCAATCAATAACCTTATTCTCAAGTATCTAGAGCTCATACTGAAATAACATAGTTATATTGAAATAATGTAAACTACATTGAAATAACTCATATTATGTCATAACAACGTAGCATTATGGCGTGTTAGAGTTACTTCATAAGGTTATGTAATATTGAAGGTCTATTAGGTTACATAATGCAACATAACGAGTTATGTAACAGTTTTTTTCCAACATGGGAATTATGCATGCATATGCATAGACACGTGTGTCTTTGTCCATGTATACGTATACACATGTGCTCGGTGCTCAGATATGGAGTAAAAAGCATAGAAAATTTGGCGACATAAAATTGGCAGTATACAATGTCAATTTGAAACTAGAAAAACATCATAGTAAGCATTGCATGTGACATGAACCACCACCACTGACCAGGCATTCAAAATTAAAGAGTTTCAAATCTGAAACACTATAACCAAGCTATGCAGATTGTATTTCCACCATTTCATGCTATATCGCGAACTAGCTAACAGGAAGTTATTTCCTAAGTAGAAATTATCCCTAGATACTATTTCGTTTAAAGCTATATTTAATTTGACCACCTACTTATGACAGATTGAAGTTAGAAAGTGATATCATGGGGTACATGTGGCGTGACTCCAGTTAAAAGTAGCAAACATCATGTGTATACTTGGTTATGTGAAACTAATAAGTGAGCAAGCATTTCCTTAACATTTGCAAATGTAGTAGTTCGCAGAAGTTTTAGTAGGACTACTCGGTCGTAGAAGATACCTTTAGTTTCACTTCTGCAACATCAGTCTCATCACACACTCCCAACACGAATGCCTGAAATAGAAAACACGAGATAATTTTTGTAATTTGAAACACAAGAAAGTAATGCATGATGGAGAAAACTTGAGAAGTGACTGACATGTAACCTACTATTAATTAACTTGGTAGAAATGAGAGGACAGGTTTTTCTTTCTTTTACCAACTTGCAGTCACTTTTAGTAGAAATAACAGAAGTTCTGTTCTTTCAAGTTACCGTGATCTCAAAATCATGCTTTCAGTTCTGGAAGAAAATGCTAATAAATTCAGTAACAGACACTGGACATATGTGAAAGTGTATTCTAGACAAGATGGCATTGGTTAAAAGTTCAAAGGAGGTTTCAATAAAATTAAAATAAAATATGATACAAGTTTTTCAAGCATCTAAGTACTGAATAAGTTCAGAGAATACAGTTCTTCATGACTACAGGGGACATAGTGTTAGCTATTCAATCCTTAAACAGGATTAGGAGAATAGAGGAGAAAAATAATCTGGTATGAGGCCTGAAGGTTTTGGCACAGATGGTGCTTTTGTCCAAGAATTGAAAACTCCCTCTTACTCGTGTGAATCATTTTGTAAAGATAAATTAGGTCGAGAGAACAATAACAGACAGTTAAAAAGCAAACTTTCAAAGTATCAAATTCATCTAGAGACAGAAATAGGTGAATTAGGATAATATGAGATCCGCCAAAGGTTCCTTTAAGGAGGGAAATTGTTTCAGTTAATCCTTCTCAGAGTACATCCGATAGTAGTGTTTGAGGCCAAATGGATCCAAACTGTGCAAGTACGGCAGCCTAAATAGCAAACTTTTGTCATTGTGCACCAAGTCGGACAAATCTGTAGCTTACTAGCAATCAATTCTGGTATTTGGCCAGAAATGTTAAAATGCATGAACCCATACAGCATCACCGTCATATAAATGCAACATCAACAATTAAACATGCACACACGTGCACACACATATATACAAGCACATGTACATTGCACACGCAGCAGACATTCTCAACGGAAAAAATTGCTAATGACCCTTCCATGATATTGCATTTTTTCTTCCCTAAAGGTATTGAATTCTAAACAGGAGTACATGAATGGATTTAATATGCAAATGTAACTTTTAATCAAGAAGATTCCAATTGGAATAGTGTCATGTACACGAGTCAGGAAAACATACTTGGATGGAAATCACAAAATAGCAGACTGTAAAGAGAGAAACTTAAACTGATGGAAAGGATGCAGTCATTGATAGATAAAGGGGGGATAAACAAATCAATAGATTAAGGGGAAAACAAACAAATGAAGCCAAGATGGATTGAAAGAGGTGAAACTTGCTAATCATG